ACACTTTCGTTTTAAGTACGTAGGTTTCTTCTAAAGCTGTCGTCCACTCCACCAGTGGCCGCGCTTTTGCAGTTCCGGTTCTTCCTTTTCTTTTCACTCCCTTAGCTTTGTGATTTTCGCATGCAGCTCCTCCTTTAAACTTTAAAGCAAAAATCAACGCATCCAACAAATAAGAAGCTCAAAGCAAAAATAAAGAAGGGGGAGCCCAAAGAAGCAGTGTCTACTAGTGAATGTTCTTTTGCCCTTTCATTTTGGCACTTCTATTTCGGCTCGTGGCAATTGAAGGATAATAACATGTCTTTCCAACGAGAGATGTAGATGCAAGTTACCACCCGTAGGATTAGGAATTAGGAAACATCCTTTTTGTTTCCTTCCGATTGTCTTAGGCGAGACCTGTTCTAGCCGACTCTACAAGATGTTTCGTTTTCTATTGATTGTTAATTAAGGGTGTCCATCTATAATTATGAATGGGTGTCGTGATCGCGTTAACATTGTCAGGACACACTTGAGAATAGTTAAACAAGGCAAGGGAATTCTATGTCAAGAATTACTTGATATCGAGTATACGAGATCGTCGAGGTTTGAATATAATATCTCTCAATCAACGAAGATTTTGATATCATTTCATGAATCAATTGCTTGCAATAATTGGAGTTGTTTGTTAAAAATTAAGGAAGCATACCCGGAACTTGAGTCCCTTGTATAGGAATGCACAACCTAGAATTTGTAGATGAGATCTTGTAATAATGTAATTAACATTGCTCTGTATACTTAAAAGTTAAAACTCCTAATTTCATCTACACAAACAATGAAACTAATTGTAAGGAAGTGGTTAAGCACCATACACGGGCCTGTATAAGATCCAACATAACATTCTCCCAATAACTCGAGGTATTGGGACCAACTGGTTCATGATATGGTATCAGAGATGGTTTGTCCTTGAGGTCACGTGTTCAAGTCCTCACGACCCCCAATATTAACCGTTGTCTTCAAAGCACATGGTAGGGTTGGGCCTGTGCAAACTTCAAACCCATGAGTCGGCTTTCATTTGGGGGCGTGATTGTGCTAATCAGTAAATATTGTTAAACAAATTAAAAGAGAAAGAAACAGAAAATATAACTAAAAACAACCAATACACTCTAAACGTATGTTCCGAAAACCACGATCGATGGATCCCAAGCCATGAATCATCCCAAGACTCACATTGCACAGCGACGACACTCTGCTGACAAAGTCAACCAAACACTCAAAAAACAACCATAAATTCGCCCATAAAAAACACAACAAAAGCCATAGCACAACAACGATATTAACAAACATAAGAAGGCAAAAAACACCATAAATATAAAAACTTGTAGCTGTAGGAGATGTTGAATATTATTCAACTACGGCTAAGAATTCTTCTGTCGAGTTAATTGGCATGGTTGTGCTTTGTTTCATTCTTAATCGGAACGCATGTACGTACTCTATATATGATGTGGGCATTTGTCTAAGGATAATGTAAGATAACATAGATTTGCATATATTAATTGGATCAAGGATTGTTGTTTTCGGTGTTCTTTAGCGGTTGTTCGTAGTTTTTATCCTTGGACAAAAGAACAGGTGAATTGATAAGATTATTAAAAACTTATTAGATATATGTTCGTAAATGTTCCACTAATCTAATCCCTAGTTTTAACTCTAGGGTTCAAGAACCAGAGCAAGTAGAACTGAGATATGGTTAATTAACTCGAGGAAAAATACTGTACAAATAAATAAACGTGTGTTATTGAACCAACCTGGCTTCGCTTTAGGGTACACCCTTTTTCTGATGTGTTGAAGAAACAGAGTCTCAAAATCCTTAATTTTATCATTAGATTACTCTCCAAATTCTCCCGTCGTGCAATTGTATAACAATTAACAAAAAATAATAAGATTTATGAAAGATCATCTACAATTTACATGTATAATTTTATTTCTGAAATTACGAATCTATTATGGTTATAAGAATAAGATTATGAATAGAGTAATATGTAATTCTATATTGTATCATCACATTAACCAAAGGTCGATGATTAAAATTTAAAAGTTGACAATTATATTCTAATTTTTGTGGTTGGTGCATTCTATACACTCGTAAAACACGAGTGTACTCTAGACACGCCTTTTAGTTAAAATTATTTATGATAAGGGAGACCTTTATGAAAGAGGTTTTTTTCCACACAAAAAAAACACACAAGACTTTCTAAAATTATTCTCACAATATCACACTTACACTAAAATTTCTCAATAAGCTCGTTCACTTGACAATGTAAACCGTAAACTTGTTTATTTTGTGGAATTTTAGTATAAGTGTGGTATTATGTGAATTGATTTAGTAAATCTTATATTTTGGGTGAAAAATGCTATGAAACATCTGAGCAAAAGATAGAAAAATGTGTGGGCCTTAACATATTATATTCCGAGTCAAAGCATTTAGGTGAAATTGACCACTTTTGACCACTTGATGGCTGGCTGGAGGTGAAATTTCGCTGAGAGAGGAAAGCTGTAATTTCGTGAGGCGAGCGCCAGCCCATGCACACTGCTATTTTGTTTTTTACCCACCCCATCGGCAGGCAGGGCGCTGACCAGTAAAACTGCTCCTATAGCAAATCTTTGAACGTTGATAAAGATAATTCCTAACAATTAATAAGTCGCGATATTATGAACGAGTTTTTTTTTCAAAATTATTGTGGGTGAAAAAGTTAAACCAATGTGCTGTGTAGTTGTTACCCATAGTATGCTTCGTTTCATCATCCATGACTACTGCCTGAATCTCTTAATAAGCTTGGAAAAGTTAATTAGGTTATTAAATCTGGAAATTTGTTGGTATTATGTTTAGTTCATAAACTTTAATTAGTTAATATAATGTATTTTAGTATCTAAATAATCTATAACTTTTCAGATTATAAGTGTGAAATATTTGGTCAGATTGGGAAATCGATAATGAAAGAAAGTAAAGATTACACAAATCTATGTGTTTCACTAACACAATGTGTGTTAGTACACGGGCAGGTAAAAGTCAGTTTCGCTATACTTGAGGATATACAAATTGTAGAGAGATTGAGAAATGTGTGTAGTAATTCTCCATACACGGCCTAACCTAAGAACACTTCTACTATGCTTTAAAGTATTGGTGCTTTAAAGTACAATATGAAGTTTTACCATAATGTTAAAGGTACAAATTGAAGTAATATGAAGGTACAACTTAAGTTTGTACCATAAAGGGATTTTACAAAAGAGTATATATACAAACAATTTAAAGTTGTACCATAACGTTAAAGGTACAACTTCAAGTTGTACCATAAAGGGCTTTAAAGCATTGTAAAATTCCCCACTGACCTTAATCCAATATGGTTAAGAATAAGGTAATAGATCCCGTGACTTCCCGTCGACTACCGATAATCCGATTCAAGTCATATCAACAGGTCACATACTCAACGTCTCAAACCATACCATGTTGTGAAATATAGAATCTAACAAACTTATTAACTATCAATAAACCAAATCATAAGCTATAAATCGATTTGCTATTTGATTCGTTAGTCAAGCGGCTCGACTACCGTACTGTCGAGCTAGCTAATGAGTTCAAAATAAATCAACTCAACGAGCCACTGAATTGAACTACCTTATAAGTCTCACAAGTTAAATAAAGACCGACTCGTTTAATTTTGAGTCGAACATCAAATTACTAAGCGACTTGACTCATTTGCCGCAACTGTCATATATTTGGCGGCCAGTTAGATTAGACTAGATGCCGATGCTGCTTGGGAAAAGTTGGACCAGCAGTCTTATTTTATATGGTCTATAATGCACTTCATAAATAGTTTGGCGGGCAATTAAATGAAGAGTCGGCAAGATAAAATAGAACACGGAAAATAAGTTGGGTTATTAGAAATTAATGAGAGAACCAAACCAACCACATAATTAATTAATAGTTTATTTCCATGGCCATGCATGAGAGTGACTCCTAATTAATAGCTAGTGCCTCGCTTTCTACTTTTTCTCCTTCCAACTTACCACAATTTTTTTTTTTACCCAGAAATCTGGGAGTTTACTTGATCAGGGTCGAACATTATAACAGGTTTTGGTGAGGGTCGACTACCGGATCTGCCACTTCTCAAAACGAGTGTCTACTGAGAATTTCACTGCTAAGTTAAATATGGTGCAAATTACAAAATTTAAATTTAAATTTGCAAAACCCACAAAATCTCGTATGTTATTATTACCGGTAAAATTCTTATCAAGTATAATAAAATATGAAATTTTGTAATTGTAACCGATTTCAATTTTATACGGAAACCCATACATCAAAATTCTCTTGTAATTCACATTTTTTTATTTGTTATACTATTGCAAAATTAAACCATTGGCTTTTCCGTTCCTAGCCTATTGCCATCGATTTTTTCTTTCTTTGGTTTTCTTGTTGATCTTAATTTTGTATCCTTAATTAATGATTTTGTTAATCTCAATCTTCATTTTGTTGCTTACAATATCGCTTGTACTTTTCCGGGAGGAGTTATGGTGCTAATTGTACAAGAGTTAGCACCGTCCTAACCAAGGGAAAAACTACTACTAGTTTGAATTAGTAGTGATTTAGCTTAGATGTTGTATTGACTTTATAATAATCCGTAGTGATTTCGTCGTTTTTAGGAACGTTTTTTGCTAGTTATTACGGAGCTAACCCCTATAATCTTCCCATCCCTACTTTTCCTTAATCTTCTTGTGTGTATTTGGGACTTGAAAGAAACAACCATTTCAGTTCAATCCTTACAAGTTAGGAAAACTAATATAAACTATAATGAACTCAACCACAGCTCCAAGCCTCCAACATCTCAACGAGGTGAATCCTTTTCCTTACTTTCTGCTTAATTTTTTTTAATCCCCCCCCCCCCCCCCCTCTCTTTATTAGTAGGTAGGATACTAGTTGTTATTTCCTTAATTTCTCAACGTGAACATATTAGAATGTCTATTATGTTGATTCAAAACGTTAAAATTTTGCATTTAAACCTCATTTAACAACTCAAGAAATGAGAAAGAAAAAAAAAAACTCTCCATAGACCAAGGAGAAAAGGAAGGATAACAAACCCAGCGCCGACCAAAGGGAACCTTTTCACTAGTGCCTATAAAATGGGTCTCCTTCCTTATCCTACCCTACCGTCCTATAACTTGAGCCTCGACGAAGCCAACCCAAGTATGGTTCTATAGCCAGATACAATTGACTCACAAACAACAGGAACTGCATTCTCTGTATCCTCCTCCTGTTCCTTTCTGGGCCACATCACAGCAGCACCGACAACTTTCACTTCAGAAAGAGAATCAGTACTCTTCCAAAAGGAACCCTCTTTCACCATTCTCAGGATCAAAGGAAAGAAGAAAACTCATCAAACCTGCAATCCAAACAGTACAGCAAGCCCCATTGTTTTCCAACAGGGGGCATCCCATAACTGAGAGCCCATATAACATCATTATATACTACTAACCGAAATTTCTATTGCCCCAATCGAATCGCTCTACAGAAAAAGGCAAAGAATTTCCCCCCTGATGTAATCTGCTACAACTGTGGCTTGTGACTTCTTTTATGTGTTACAACACTTGCAGGTTTCAACCTATTCTCCAGGTGAAACACCTACACCTTCATACAACAAATCATTTGTTTCCCAATACCCACCCCTACACTGTGATATCCCCCTACAACAATCCCCACAATCATATTTACAAAAACCAACCCCCTGTTGGGGCTGGAGTTCACCTTGGATAGATAAAACCATTGATTCACATCAACTTACGAACCTTTGGTTGGCTGCTGCTGCCGCAACTTCTCCCCAAAGCTTTGGCAGGAGGTGGCATCATGCACGTTTTCTGTAGAACGTAGGCAGCTGAATGTCTACTTCCAGTAATGGAGTCCTCGAGTGGCTTGCTGGAGGAAGACCTGCTTGATTTGGGGGTAGACCAAAGCAATGAAGATCCCTTTCTAATGCTACCATTGATGTGGCCAGGGTACCTTTTGTTCTCTACAGTAGACAGCTTAGGCCTCTTGGAGGGCATCACTTGATCCATTGTGCCGCCTCTGATCATACGGTCAGATGCCACCAGGCCCACCACTAATGAAGTCGACGCTATAAATAAGTCGTGCTTCTCATTGGATTTCAACTTGCAAGCCTTCATGGCTTTCTGAGAAGGTTGCTTTGGCCATTTCATTGTTTTTTCGAGGTTTATTAGGCTTTTCGAACCATGAGCAGCAATGTCTACCAGGGTTTGAGCAGCTGCTACAAGTTTTGGACAATGTTCGGCTGTAAAGGATAAAACATTGCACTAAAATTACATTCAGTACCTAAACGTTTAGACAATCGAAAATATCCTTCAACCACGTCAAATTTCAACAATAAGTCATTAATCCCCAACAACCCACCAACCCAGAAGCCCATTAAGCTCGCCCATCAACAATAAGTCAGTACCTAAACCTGTGAACCCATTTAACCCCAACCGTTGAACCTATGAATCCCACCCATTAGCCACCTCGACAAAGGACACAGAATTGTGCTATATAAATCGGCCAGACCAAACAGATTAATGAGCAAAATCTATCAAAAGCCATAATGTACTATTGTATACCTTCATCCATCAAAAATCCATTATGTGTTTATCTTATACCTTCTACTTGGTAAAACAACAGGCAAAGCACGTATACAACAATCCACAAAAAACAAAGAGATAGGTGAGCAAATCAAAATACATAAGCATAAAAGTTGGGGCAGTCATTACCTTTTCCGATGGTCTTCATGTCACCCCCAGATTCTGCATTCACAAGAGAAATTACAAGAGCAAAGCCAACTGGTAAATGTTCTGTCCACATAGTAACTTCTGTAACTATAAATTAAATATTCCCTCCTAAGACCCCAACCTATCATTTACCTGAAGAAACTTGGGATGTCAGAGAAGTCAAAGTTGTTGATAAACTGTGTTTGCATGTACAAGACATTGATGCAGCAGCACTTCTATAATCACTTTCTAGCTTTGGGCCAGATGAAGGAACTAAGGCCTCATCATAAGCAAGAGACTCGAGGTTTGTGAAGCTAGTTGAAGGAGCACCAATACACCTAATACAGTTGTCTATTTTTGCCCATCTACCTTGGCATGTGCTCCTACTTGTTAACAACTTAGCTGAATCAGAATAGGCCCTACAATGTCCACCAAAATTCTGTGACCAAGGAAAAGGGGGCAAGCTAGCTAGGCTTGCCAACTGCTGGCCTGGACGTGGGTCAGGTGCAGTACTCCTAGAAGATGCAGCTGGCTTCCCAGCATCCTGAAGCAAAGACTCCAAGTCCTTCGATGGTCCAAGTGCCAGGCCTTGTAAAGTATCTTTAGGTTGATCAAATTGGAAATCTAGTAATTGAGCAGAAGACTCGGGCTTGCTGCAAGAATCCTGCAAGGTTAAAAGGACCAGCAGTGAGGCATTCATTCAGTACCAGTACCATTCAATATCCCTTTTCTTAGAAAACAGCAAATGACTTCAAACAAAAGTTTGTGGAATACTATTCAACAAGTAGCTTACCTTATCGGAAGAAGACAAATCTGTGGGGGTAGTTTCTGCAGTATTTCCACTTACACTACGAGGGAGAGAATTTGGTGGACATATTCCTGTGGTATCATTCAAAGAGTTGTCTATCACGGTAGCATTTTGGGTTGGGAAAGGTTTAGGGACCTGAAGAATGGAACAAGCCTTTCTAAGTGATTGTAGAAGACACTCGGTCGAATTTGCTGGTTTCTTTCCCTTTTCTTTGCCTAAGCTGCGGCACTGATAAGTGCCCGAAAGGAGATCATTCAATGATAAATCATCAACAAGGTCAGCGATATCATGAACATCTGTCTTCAGACCATATAACACTGCCATCATTTCAATACGCACACTTATGAGTTCCATATGGCAAGACATGAAAGGAAGAAGAGATAGTATACAAAGGCAAAGTAAGTTGCAAGAACACCATGTGGAAAGTGGAGGAAGTACAAGCTAAACAGGAAGTTTCCTACTCGTGCACTCTCATCACTTTTCATTTTTTTTTATGTCAAATAGGTTCAGCTATGTATAAAACTGATTCTTCCTTCTTGAGAAAGAGTAGGATTGCAGAGAATGGAAACATTACAAGGAAAGCCAAGATCAAGAAGGATATAACAAATTGAAATGCTACTTGCACCTTTCCGAAGGACTTGATATTATTTCCCCCATCTTCTCCATTATAAATGTTTGTTCAATAATCTCACTCCAAATTTTGAAAATGCAAAATCAAACCCAAATATACCCCACCCACTCAAAAAAAAAAAAAAAAAGATAGAGACTGATTATTGCTCCCACAATTCATGAAAACAGAAATGACTTGTGTTATAACATGGTAAGCGACGATCCAAAATTAGCATAAACCATCCTTTTCACTTCTTGTACTTTCCTAAGATCTCATATACAGTGATATAATGCAAGAACTGAAATGATGCAGGTTATCACAACAATTTCCATCCTACCTGAAAAGTTGTTAGCACCAGCAGTTGAACTAAAGCTTGGGAAACTGCCTTTCACTGAAAATGGATCATATTTTGCTTTCGGGGAAATCTTGGAATTTCTTCTGTCACCTCGCCTACCGCTACTGTTGTTCCTCTGTCTCGCAAATTGAGTTTTATCTGCAGCATACATACAAAACCTTGGAGTTATTAGCATAAAGACTTCACTTTAAAAAGACTACAAGATCACATCACACAGATCTAGGACACACAGGTCTACAATATGTAATTTGTCAACAGCAATATTTATAATAGGAGTTTCAAGGAAGTATAAGCAATCCCCTGCTATATCGTAAAAGAGTAAAATTTCTTTATCCATCAATCAAGTCCTGCCCCTGTTGGTATCGTCAAGATAGCAGCACCTCTTGCAGGGTCGCTTGCGATCAATTAGAAATACAAGCACAAATCAGACAAGAGCTATACTGACTTACTCTACTTTATCACATAACACTCAGATAGCATAATCATTATCCAATCATACAAGAATTTGCTGCAGATAGGGATTTTCAAGAGAAGATTTCATAAACTGAATTACCATGAGAGTTGCACTTTTTTAAACATGATCTCAGCTTACCTAACAAATCTTTTGTATCATCAATCCCAGTCAAACCAGCAGCATCTTCTACCAGAGATGTCCTTGGTCTTTTAGCAGAACCACTACCACCTTTTGACACTCTTCCAGCTTTTCTATTTACCTTTCCTTCGTCGCACTTCAGCAACCACGATGGACTACTCGTTTCACTACTAAAGAGGTGTTTACTTAAGTCATCTCTATGATTGTTGGATGCTTCACTATTCTTCTTACAGACTTCAATGGTTGGACCATTATTCCACGGAGCAGAAACCAAAGCATTGACTGAACTTCCTTCACCTGCAGAGTCACATCAGCTATAAAACATAAGCTTGGGAGATTTATTAGAAGAAAAAATAAAAGTCAGCAAAACTATCAGCGTGCCGTTTCTGAACTTGCAGTTCACTTTCACAAATTGCAGTGTCTGAGAATTGGACTTCCCACCACCAGTCCACCACTGGCAGCCCTAATGTAAGAAGAAACTTAACCAAAAAAAAAAACTATGAGCGAAGACTAAAGCCTTCCTTAACTTAGCACTTATCTCACGATCCCATACCAGCTCTCTCCTCCTTGTAACCTTGTTCAGATTATTCAACCTGTCACTTGTTCAGGTAAATCTAATCAACCCTCTATACTGCAACGCATAACCCCAAAAAGAACAGAATTGCCTCTCGGAACATAAGATATCGAGGCGAACCTTATTGAAGTCAACAAAATGTTCAATTTCTCAGAAAGCCTACGCCTAGCACGAACAGAAATAGATCCAAAACTATTCCCACCATTCAACAACCATTCTCCATGTTCCAAATCGAAACTTCAATATATCATTTCTTATGCAAGCAAAACAAGGGCAGCCCTACCTTAAGCTCACGAATTAACGGTAAATGAAAGAGTGAAGAATTTACCTGCATCACGCAGACCTCTCGCCGGCTTCACCAGAGGCTCCACTCCAAAAACCGCAACCCTATCTCTACCAACCCTCTCCGATCCGACCAATTTCGATGCCCCGACTGCCGCCGCCGCCACACCCACTGGATAGTTCAACTCGACAGCATCCATGAACCAACAGAACTAAACTTTCTCCAGAGGTAGAAGAAGAAACCGAAAGCTTCCGGCGAGCATCACTCGACGAGATCTGAGACAGCGACGTTCAGGGAAGATGAAGCCGCGGGTTGGAAGACCTGTGGTGGAAATTGAGACGGCGAATCGACGATCTGGAAGAAGAGCGGGAGAGCAGCGGGAGTGGAAATGGATTGCGTTGACAGAGGACGCTTGTCGGCGGCTGAGAGACTTCAGAGAGGGGGCGAGAAGAAGAGAGGGGCGTGCAATCTCTAGGGCAAGGAATTGGTGGTTAGAACTTAGAAAGAGAAGTATTTATAGTTTTCGGGATTTGGTGACGTTATGTTCGGGATAACGCCCGACGGTGGGAAAATCCCCGCCGACGGTGAAGGCCGGCAGCGTTATCTACAACGCCTGGGGGTTGTTGTTTGAGGGCGAAATGGTCTTTTGAACCTATTGACGTCGGCTTATCCAATCAGAATAGCTGATATTGCGGGCCACACGCACCCTCAGCGCGTGGAATTCCTTCAGGCGATAGACAATGAGGAAGAGAATCAAGAGATGCAAGTGAGATCAGTCAAAGAAATATCCTGACATTTTTCTATTTAGCAAATGACAGTAATACCCCCTCAGCGAAATTATATTGGGGTTAATAAATGCTTCAGTGGTCATTTGATCTTTAAGAGTTAACACCATAGTCATTGCCTATGTTTGGCCCGGCTTTTAGAAGTGCTTTTCGGCTTCAAAAGCTTAAGCAGGGCCAAACACCTCTAAAAGCTCGGCTTTTGAAAAGCCGAAAAGCGCTTTTGTATAACATAAAAGCAGAAGCTCCGATTTGGAGCTTCTGCGAAAAGCTGTTTTGAAAATACAAGATTATCCTTACCATATTTTAATTTTATTTCAGAAAATATAATTTTCCTTCATTTATATCATTTTAAGAATAAAATAAATTATAAAATCATATTATTTAATATAAAAGAAATCTAACAAGATCCATTTTGACTACTTTTTATTGTTTCGAATTTTTATTTATATTTTATATTATAAGTCCCTTATAGTCATTTTACACAACCGCTCATATTAAAAAGCACTTCTAATAGTTTTACAGCCAAACACTAAACTGCTTTTTTTGAAAAGTACTTATCTAAAAGCTCCAGCCAGAAGCTGCTTCTGCAAAAGCTACAGCAGGGCCAAACTAAGCTATTAGTTTCTTCACATTTTAGTTACACTGTGCTTTGAGAGTTTTTTTAGTCATACTTTCTCGATACGTATCAATCCTTTGCTATACTAGGCATCTTCGGAAAAAAAATCTCAAGGTACACTAGTTGTTAAAAAAAATTCCCAAAATACATAAGTTATAAAAAAATTTCTAAAAGTACACATGTTTGAGCATCACCGTTTTTGACAAACGCAGTGAAGACTATCACCGCGTTTGAAAAAAATGGTGAACATTTCACCGTCTTAAAAAAAAACAGTGACGTATTCACCGTCTTAGTTTAAAACGGTGACGGCATCACCGTTTTAAACAGAGACGGTGAATGCATCACCGTTTTAATCAAAAACGGTGAGGCCTTCACCGTTTTAATGGTCCACGGTGAAGCGACGCGGATCGCTGACGTGGACCAACGCGGGGTATTCACCGCGTTAGACAAACACGGTGAATACCCCGTGTTTGTTTACGTCAGCGATCCGCGCCAATGTGCTTTCACCGTGGCCGTTAGATGAGGTGAGGCGCGGATCGTGGTTTTCTTCCCACGATCCGACGCCTCACAGCACGCCACGTCGACTCGGGAGGAACCGTCTTTGGGAAAAGCGAGGCATTCACCGCGTCCCTCAAAGACGGTGAATGCCCCCCTAATAACTGCTGCGCAGTTCCTCCCCCCCCCCCCCCCCCCCCCCCCCTCCCCAAACTATAAATACCCCCTTCCCCTCCAACTTACAACTCACCCCACAACAATTTCATTTCTTTCTCCCTCCATTTATCCGCTCTAGTCTCGTTCTAAGTATGCTCTGTGGTTGCGGCTAAGTCCGATCTTCCACATCAGAAAGAATTATTAGAGTTTGACCCTAAAGCCCCCGTCCCGCTAAGTTCCCGTCCCTTACAAACCTAAACCCGTCGAACCTCTGTCCGGCTTCCGCCAAAAAATGGACGAAGAGGCTCTTCGTGTAGGTTTTTGGTTTATGATTTTTTTTTAATCGAAACAATTTGATTTTGTGTTTTTTTTTTATCAAAACAATCTCTGATTTCATTACTTTTTTATAGATGGGTGCCGAGATATACGATCCTCGATTGTATATCCATTATGGCCCAAGGGATGTGAGTCTCTTAACCGATCAAGAAGCTCATCGCTCCCGTGCTATTTGGGATAACAATCCGGTAATTTTTTGAGTATTCTTGCTTTATTTTATTATTTTCTAAGGTTTTATTTTGCTTTATTTAATCTAATAAATTGATATTTTCCCTATTTTTTTTAGGAATCTCTTGTACCCGTGGTTCATAAAGGGACCAATAACTTGCCCGCTTGGCATCCAAGGTTGGAGCCCTATATAGCGAGGACCGGTTTGGGAATGTTGCGCCATTTCTTGTGGATCGAAATCGACAACGATCTGCTTACGGCAATGGAGGAACGATGGCGTCCCGAAACCCAACATTCCACCTTCCGGAGGGGGAAATGACGATCACCCTCAAAGACGTGGCGATCCTCACCGGGCTTCCTATTTCTGGAGATGCCATCATTGGTTCCACGACCAAACCCGAAGGAGGTTGGGGGCCGCTCATACGTGATCGTTTGGGCTTCGACATGCCGACCACCACACCAATTCAAGGACGAGGGCATCCACCGTTGAATGCGGGCCAAGTGTCGGTCCCGTGGCTGGTATCTCACATCCAGCAAGAGGTGGAAATCAATGACGAGACACCGGAAGAACAAGTCGAGCGCTACGCCCGCATCTACCTCATCGGTTTGGTGGGTGGATTTTTGTTCCCCGACAAGTCCAACCGGTGGATTCAAGGCATATGGTTGCCATTGCTCACTGGTGACTGGGATGCAATTGGAGAGAAGAGTTGGGGATCGGCCGTGCTAGCGGGCGTATACCAGGAGCTGTGTACTTGCTCGAAAGTTGGGGCAAAGCAAGCTGGTGCTGCGATGTTCATCCTACAACTGTGGGTATGGGAGCATCTTCCAATGTTCGCACCTCTCGACCCACGTCCATACCGGAGAAACGATGATGAGCTAAACTTTCTGCAAAATCTCCCCTACGGTGTCAAGTAAGTTTATTTCGTACTTAGCCTAATTTAAATTTTATTACATGCTTAGCTAGATTTAAATTGAATTTATTCCGTACTTAGCCCAAGTTAAATTTTATTACATGCTTAGCTAGATTTAAATTGAATTTATTCCATACTTAGCCCAAGTTAAATTTGATTACATGCTTAGCTAGATTTAAATTGAATTTATTCCGTACTTAGACCAATTTTATTTATTATTTGCTTAGCTATATTTCAATTAAATTGATTCCGTACTTTTACTTACAAGGTGGATAGGAGCAAATACGAATGACCATCAACCTGAGCATTCGTTACTGTTTTATCGTTCTGAGTTAGATAAACCTTGGTGGAATCAGGTAATCATGTTTTGTCCATATTTGAACAAGTTAAATTTTATCAATGTAAATGGTCGTTAATTCCGAATTTTGAACGAATATAGGTTATATGGGATCCATATCCACGTGAAGTGTTTGAGCTGCATCATCTTAGACACCCGCTAGATCACGAGACGTGGTTGTGCAAGGTGCCATTGATCTGCTGGCACATGATGGAATGGCACCTACCCGATCTGTTCATGGTTATTGACTTAGCAACCGCCATTGCATGTGAACAGGGTATCCTTTCGTTCTGATACTTTTGACAAGAACACTCCCCTAATTCGTAGTGCAATTTAACCGTTTGACGATTGTGACCACGTCTCCCTCCACCCCATATACCTGTTTCCACAGCGAATATTCCTTCACTGCGGTTAAAAAGAACAACCTTATGCTTACTTGATTTTTCATCGTTCTTCTGCATTTGAGCGAATACGTCATGTGCTATTGAATGACCTTGCAACTCCCTCCCTATAGCTTGCTGTAGCCGAGCAACTCACCACTCGTTGACCTTCCAGTAAGACATCTCCACGATGACAGAAATAGGCATCGCTCGAAGACCCTTGTACACATTATTTATACTTTCTCCATGGTTGGTAGTTGCAATGCCCCATCTGGCCCCGTTGTCCATATGGAACGTCCACATGGGCAACTCTTGACCTTCAGCCCATACTGCTCCAGCTCGGTGGGTCTGACGGATCGTTTTCATCTTCTGCTCGTACTTTTTTGGTTGATGTGCAACCGCTGAAAGGTGAACAAAATCGAAACTGGTCAATACATGATGAATAACATCAGCTTAATAAACACAAACTTAAATCGCATAAGAAAAACATTAGTACCTGCATTCCAAAGTTGATTTTTGATGTCTTTCTTCTTCCCAAATTTGTGCTGGAAATTGGCGAGCCAGTGTCGAATACACCATCGCCATCTCCATCCCCACTCGTCGGGAAAACCACCAACAGCATTCCTAATCCCCGCATGTCGATCGGATATAATCGTAATATCTTCCCGCTGTGTCACGTGTTCGTGTAGTTGGTCAAAGAACCATGCCCAACTTAAGCTGTTCTCCCCTTCCACTAATGCAAATGCAAGCGGGAAAATCCGCCTGTTTCCATCAACGCCAGTGGCAATTAGAAGACATCCTCTGTACTTCCCAGTAAGGAAAGTTCCGTCAACCTTAATAAAAAATTAGGATCTAATTAGTATGAAATATACGTAACAGAAAATAATACAACATTTAAAACCGGAACCATTTGGTAGAATACCTGAATAACCGGTATGCAGAACCCAAAACCGTCAATGCATGGTTTAAAAGCCCAAAAAAGATGATGGAACATCAGCTTCTCCTGTACTCGAACTTGATCCTCAGTGTATACATTGTTGTATACTGGGACGAAAACAGTCCCAGGATTGGACTCCTCCATTGCTCCCATAAGTCCAGGGAGTAAAGCATACGAATCCTCCCAATCACCATACACCTCAGCCATGGCTTTCTGCTTTTCATGCCATGCTTTTTTGTACCTTATCGTGTAAGAATGTCGATCCTTCACCTCTGCCATGATAGCTTTCACCTTGATATCTGGTTGTGCTTCTATAAGGTGCTTAATAGTTCTCCCAACTTTCTTTGCTTTTAATTGCATGTGATCTTGGGAAAGTATAGAAGAGGAGCATGTGTGGATCGTCTCAGCTTTGCGAATCACCCAAGCACCCTTTCTCTTCATATTTGCAGCCGGCAGTTGCCACGTACAACCCTCTGCATCATGCTTGCATATGACATGTAGTTGTTTACTGTCAGAATATTTTACCTTCCACTCGAAATTGCGCCTCAACGCCTCTTCTGTAAAAGCATCCTGCACAGCGTCTTTTGATGTGAACGCCATACCCACCTCCAAATTGGCCGTCGGATTGTACACTGGCATAGGGACAAAGTCGGGGGGATCATTCTGACTATGTAAAAATTGAGTTGGAACCTGTGTGTAATATGGCGTGGGTGCCTCACGAAATGCCGCCTCATCCTCGTTATCATCAGTATCTTCCTCCTCCTCCTCCTCGCTCACTGATCTCAAATCTTCCTCAGTATCCTCGTCGCTCGACTCGAATGGATAGCTCGGGCCAGAAAGATCAACATGACCACGATCACCAACATTGTCTTCTCGCTCATGTGAAGTACGACCAGATCGAATGGTATTCTCGATTTCAGACCACTCTGGCCCCCAAGCAGGCCATTGAACACCATCAGACTCAACAAATGGGGCTGGTTGAGGAGGTTGCGAGTATTCTTCCGATGGCACCCATCCTGAACTACTACCTCCACCGTAGTTGCTCGAACTACCACCCCATCCGTACCCTCCTGCAAAACCATCATCATAAGAATACTGGTGAGAATGAGATTCACCGACCGCCTCGGTCTCAACATACACCTCTGCAAGCCGGACTTGGTTATCGCTTAGGAACTGTAACATCATCGTAACCGCGTCATCATCGTTTATGACAACTTCTTGGAACACGACCCCGCCAGCACTCATGTCTGGATACCGGTAAGTAATTTTGTCAAGTCTCGTCTGTCCGCTCGTACAAACCCTGTCTGCACAAATATCACAGAGTTCTTGAAAATTGAATCGGGAATCAATTTTCAGCATAATGGATTCGCCGTCCTCATAATCAATGCCTATGTCAGAGTTTGTCACCCTTCCATTCCACCGAATAGTAAGATGAAACTTCTTGAATTTACCCATATCTACAATTTACAATAAGTATCTATTAGTTTAAAGACAGTAAAATTAACCAAAATCATATTGTACAACTAATATTATCCATCTCATAACTAACGAACATAAATTCAACTAACTAACAACAACATAAATTCAACTAACTAACAACAACATAATACGAAAATTAAATCATACTATAACTAACGAACATAAATTCAACTAACTAACAACAACATAATACGAAAATTAAATCATACTATAACTACTAAAAACATAATTAGACTATAATACGAAAAGTCTCAACATACCGAAAAATTTCTGTTCTGTGTATTATGCTCGATTTTGGTTGCTGAAATTTGAAGAAAGGGGAGTGGTTATGTTTTTACAACTGCTGGTGGTGTGCTATTTATAGGAAAATATGCCTACTATTCACCGTTTTTGTCGAACACGGTGAACACCATCACCGCGTTTGTCTCAAACGGTGAATAGTTGGTAGCTGTGACCTAATTTTGACCTACCAGGGGTGGGAAACGTGGGAAAAGATCACCGCGTTAACCTACAACGGTGAAGGTATTCACCGTTTTTAACTAAAACGGTGATGTATTCACCGTTCTAATCAAACGCGGTGAAAGCATCACCGTTTTAGACGAACGCGGTGAATACGTCACCGTTTTGCTTTTCAATGGTGAAATATTCACCGTCTTTGTCAAACGCGGTGATATCCGTCACTGCGTTTGTCAAAAACGGTGAATGGCAAACATGTGTACTTTGGGAATTTTTTTATAATTTATGTATTTTGGTAATTTTTTTTAAGAACGTGTGTACAGTGGGATTTTCCCGCATCTTCGTGCTAGTTTCCACCGAATCACAAAAAATGAAAAATGAATAAGATGGGTCGTAAGTTAGGACAATTTTCAATAAAATTAATGGTTAATTATGCTATATATTAATTTGATGACACAAAGCTTCTTTTCTTTACTATCATTGGTAGGGGGTGAGAAACGGTGCGATTGCGATTAACTGCATCGCAATTCGCGGTTAATTGCAACCGCAAAGTACCCATATTCACCAACCGCAATCGCACCTTGTACGGTTAGCGGTTAACCATTAACCGCGAAACATGGTTCACGGTGCACCGCGGTTACAGGAGGTAATAACCGATTTAACCGCATCAGTGTGACTAACCGTGGTTAAGCAAAAAACCGCAAGGGACGGCAGCGGGGCAACAGAGCAGATGTGGAGACTGGAGATCGACGGTCGACGAGTAGAGTCGATGTGGAGAGCGATGAGCAGAGAGTGCAGCCTGAGTCAGTGAACAGAGCAGGTCGACGAGCAGAGAGGCGATGAGAAGAGCAGAAGCAGATGCGAATGGAGCAGAGCAGAAGAGCAGGTCGAGACTCGAGCCTACCGCTGGAGGGCGACAACCGTTAGTGACAAGGGACGGCAATCGGGGGATTTTCTGGTCGTCGGTCGACGTCTCCACTCTCTCTCCACTCTCAGGGCTCTCGACGGCGGAAGATTAGGGTAGTTGGGTTAGGGTTTTCAATCTTTCAGAGTGGGAAATGGAATTGCGATTCGGTGATTCGCAAAGCCAAAGTGGGAAAGTGGGGGAAGGGGTCGGCTTGGGCTGGGCTGGGGGTGGGGTTGGTGTTATGGACTGGACTGGATTTTTCGGTTAGCATTGCGGTTAGAGTTATTTGCAGTTTCGGTTAAACCACAAACCGCAAAACAACCAATATCTCCAACCGCGATCGCAAAATAGGCTCTTTTTGCGGTTAACTAATAACTGTCGGTTAAACCGTAAAACTGCAACAGTTTTTAACTAGTTTGTACTAAGTAATAAGTTATGTGATAACTAGAGGTGGCTATTTGGTCTAAGCTTTTTGGTTTTACCCGAAACTGTATAACTCGGATCGAGACCGGACCTGGACCGGATTGCAAACAATCCAATCCCATCTTTGGGTGTAGATTTGAGGTAAAAAAAACTGTTCGGGACTGGACCGAAAACCGGATAAAGACTGGAATAGAGAGCCCAACACCCAAAACTTAAATAACTCCTCACCCTTTGAGGCATCAGGCCGCTTAAATCCCCACCAGCTCAATCTAAAATCAAGACCGAATTGGGATCGGACCAGGTTAAAATCGTACCTTATCTAATCCAATATTTGGTCCTTATATTCTTAAAAAAACCAAATTTAACCGGACCGTATCGTATAACACCCCAGTGATAACCAACAAACAAATTATTCAATTCTGTAACTCGACCGAGTCAGGAAAGGGAAACACAGAAACATACTTGGGGAGAGAAGATTCACGACGAGGATGGCCGGAAAGGTTGCGCAACCGCTGGTGCCTCCAGCCACCGGGCTGACTGTAGGAGAGGAATCCACACTGTCGGCGTCGTTGGTGAACTCCTTCAGAGTAATAGCTGTAGTCGATAGATTGGCCTTGCATCTGCAACCTGGCCGAGAAAATAACTCCAGCGAGTTCTTCGGCCTCTGCCTCTCCCTCGCTCGGTACGCAACTCCGTCGCTACTTACCGGATTCCCCCCAAAAAACTCTGTTTTCGCATTTCATATCGAATTTTCATATACTCTGCGTTAATTTTGGCTGTTGAGTTGCTAATTCTGGACATGGGCTGCCTAACAAGTAAAAAAAATTGTGAGCTTGAGTTCATGTGCTCCTGGGATTCAATTGAAACTTTCCATTCTCCATTTGGAAACCCAGTAAATAGTTGTTTTCTGTGTTTGCGGTGGCTTACGGTGCTCTTTGCTGATGTAGAGGCATTGATTATGCTGTGGCGAACAATGAGTTACCCTCCAAAGTTCAAGATCTACCTTTGCTGCTGAAACAGGTGATTCCTGCCATATGCCATATCCTCCCTGCATTAGAACACTTTAGTTTTCTTTAAGTTGCTTGAGCCTCTATTGGAGCAGAACCTGACCAATTAAGTACTGATATTCGGCCTGGCGGTTAAGTTATTGAAAGACTCACAAATGATACCGAGTTACTGATTGGCACAAGAGATTGAGAGTACATTTTCAGTGAACATGCTCGATTCCCCTACCATAGTAAGAGTCTCAGAGTGGCGATTGCAGTCTCTGGATTATGGAAAATTTGTAGTTATTGCCGGCATTAGCAAACCATTATCCTATGATTTTTTGTTTGTTTGAAGTTATTAGTTTGTGGTTATTGCCAGCATTATCAAACCATTATGGAAAACTTAGACCTTCTAGTTGGCTTAGTTTGTCATTCAGTGGATTAACAGCCTAACAGGATTGGAGTTGGTTGTGGGACATTAGGGAGTAATGTTATGGATTAACTATCAACTTTATGCTATGTTTCCTCAATAATCAGGTATGCAGGCGCAAGAATGATCCCTTACTGGAGGCAGCTATCATGGTGCTGATGATTTCAGTCAAGGTATGCCGTAGATGCCAACAATAATTGATTCCAAGTCTGTATTGTGTTCCTTCAAAGGCCAGCTGTGGTTTATTTGGATGTTGGGAATCAAGTAATGAAGAACATTTGAGTGATTCGAAACTTGGTACTGTTGAGAGTCTATAGTATGATAACTCTTTTGCCAAAATATGTAGTGGTTGTAGGGAGGTATTAGGAGTGTACTGCAGTTCTAGCCAATTCATTCTCTTGGAACTTGCTTATCCATCGTCTCTCACTGAATGCAACTTCACTTTCCTTTTCCACTGTTTGGAGTGGCGTTTGTTGTTGTATTTCATTAGATGACTGTTCTTATCTCTGTTATTCCTTCAGAATGCTTGTAAAGTTGGGTGGTTTTCAGATCGAGAGACCCAAGAGCTCATTTCTCTGTCCAGTGAGGTTCACTCTTGTCCCTTCTCCCCACCTTCCTTTTCCCCCTCGCATTTATAAAGAAAAAAGTTTATACAAATTGGTGGACGTAATCACCATCTGGCACTTCAATCCCCTGAGTTTTTTTGTAGATTGGGAACAGCTTTCGTAGTTTTGGAGATACACTGGATGCCTCTGGTAGTCCTCACTCCACTGTCTCTACAGTTTTATCCAGGTTAGGCCTCAAGTCATTGCTGGGTTGAAGATTCTGTCCTTGTGGTTTTTGTTCCAACATTATGGTTCCTTACTTCAATTAGAAGCTGTTCGTTTCTCTTGGTGTATAGATCAATTCAATGCAGAGAGAAAATGCTAGTTTTCAGTTTGCTTCTATTGCCAGTGTACTTTTCCTTGGAGGAGTAGGAAGATGTGTATAAGCTGATTTCTTGCTTGACCTTAGCTTTAGAAGTTCCTTGCTGTATATATCTCTTCTTCTCTAACGTGTTTGGCCATGTTAGGCCTCGTGTATAGTGGTAGTAAGACTCCATTGATTCTTATCATATGGGGTTGTTGTTGGTCTGAAATAATCGTTTGTCCTTCTCTTCCTGATTTCAATTTACACCATGTAAACTTGGAGCTGGCCATTGGCTTATCTATCAATAAAATCTTAGGAAAAACCGTAACATGATCTCCCCTCACCGCTTCTGTTAAATTATTTGCTATATCTTGTGAATGTTCCGAGATGTTTGAACTGATACCCTATTGAAATTGGTCAAGTCGTTATAATTCATTGCATGACTCTTAATCTTTTGCAACATTGTTGACCACCCCACATGCTCTCTTAATAAATGCAGGTACTATCCTAAGATGAAAATGGGAGATATTCTTGTTTCCCTTGAAGTGAAGGTGGTTCTTACTTTTTGCTTCTTGTTTATAACTTTATATACAGTTGAATCCTACTTTGCAACTGGTTTAATCAACTCCTTTCCGTCTTGTAGCCTGGTTTTGGGGCATATGTTCAGGATTTTCATATCTCAAAGAAGTCAAACCATTCCCCCCATGAAAAAATAGTGAGTAAATTTTATTCCATCCCTTGGGTTTAATTAATTATTTGCGAATGCTGCTGAATACTGATTCAACATGTTCCCTGCAGCGACTGTTTGTGGCCCAGACAGATGGCATGGACACATCGGCTTGTATTATAAGTCCACAACAAGTGAAGTATGCATAGTTTTTCGTTCATTTCCTATAGCCTTAGTTTCTGGTACATATTGTCATCTTTGACCTCAACACTTTTGTAGCTTTCTATTGAATGGAAAAGGAGTCGATAGAAGAACCAACATTCAACTGGTAAGTAAAGATTATTGGACTGGCTTGGAGATTGTGAAGCATTTGAGTGAACATCTGCAACTTAACTATTTTTCACTCCCAGGATACTGGGCCACAGCTGCCAACTAATGTGACTGGAATGCTAAAATATGGAACAAATCTTCTCCAAGCTGTTGGCACCTTCCATGGTATGCTTGGTTGCAAGGTCATAAGAGTAGTATATTATTACTATGGTTTTTACTGTAACATTGACTAACAGCTGTTTTATAGGAAATTATGTAATAATTGTCGCCTTTATGAGTACTGTGCAATTACCTGATCCGCCAGTGCTGCTAGATTATGTCCAGTCGAGTTCTACTCTGTCAGATCCAGGTACCAGCGTGTTGGAAGATGGAGAGGGATTCAAAATACATTGTTTCTTTCTGAGTTGAAGTTGCCTGTTTGTTTATGCGTATACTATGATACATTTCAGCATGACTTTACTTCTCTTGTCCTAGATTCTTATGCAAAATTTATTTTTATGGATCTAGACTCTGACATAATCGAGGGGCCTTCACGGATTTCACTTAACTGCCCCATAAGGTATGTTATGTCTTCATATGTTTAAAAATATAACTTGCTTATCCCCTAGTCTAGAACTAATCCCTTCCTTTACTTTATCCTTGGGATTCACACATTCCTAGTTACTTCTTGCAACTTGTTTAAGGGAAGGCTAGTAACTTATTTTCATTTTTCGAGTAACTTACCCCACGTGATATTTCTGTTCTATTGCTTATTTAATGTAGTTGTCACTATTCAATAATAAGAAATTTCCTGTTGTTAACTAGTACTTATCTCAACAGCTTTTCAAGAATCAAGACTCCAATCAAAGGGAGTTCATGTAAACATCTTCAGGTGAGTGCATTGGACTCTGCTGCTTTTCCTTGAGACAGTTGAGTCGATGGAAGCTGGTAATGTAGAATTTTCGAACTAAAAGCAGAGCAACGTAGTACTATAATTATAGATGGACTTCAAGACTGAATTTTTCTTGTTTCTGACATTTTTCATTTTCTGCTTATTTCTCATAATTTATCTGAGCTTCTATTTTGCTAATACTTCTGTATCAGTGTTTCGATTTTGGAAACTACGTTGAGATAAATTCAAAGCGACCATCTTGGCGCTGCCCACACTGTAATCAGAATGTCTCTTACGCCGATATTCGCGTCGATCAGAACATATTTAAGGCAAGTAACTTTGTGCCTAATTCTCCTGTGTTTATCTTATCAACATTCAAATTTGAACTTTCCAATCATGCCATTTCCAGGTATTAAAAGAAGTGGGGGAGAATATCACTCATGTGAACATATCAGCCGATGGATCTTGGAAGGCTGTCATGGAAACTGATGATAACGGACCTCAGGCACCTCCAAGACAGAGAGAAACTCCTGAGCAGCCAGAATCCTCCAATGCGGAGTCACCTGCCACTCCCATGATTCTGGATCTTACTGAAGGCGATGATCTAATGGACGAGTTATTAAGCAATTGTGACACTGAAGAGCATAAACCTTCTCCGGCTTCTTTTCTTGGTCAAACTCTGCCACATTTGGACGATCACTCTACTTCTCAAATGGGAGATTGGGCCAATGCGTTTTTCCCTGCCACTACCATAACTTCCCCTGTGATAATGGATACATCTTCCACTGTGCTTAATATGGATTCCAGTGCTCAGCTTGCTCCTCTAGCAACCGAGAATAACACCGGGATGAGATATGTTGGGGTACCTGCTAACAGAGTCCCAACAGCAATTCAGGCCCTCCCAGCTACATTTATGCAGCATCAAACACCGAGAATGAATAATAGTATAAACAACGTGAACTCCACGGGCGGGTTGTCATCTGTCAATTCTAGTTTGCCTCCATCAGCATCTGCAAGTGGTTATACTAATGACATGTTCCAGCGGTTCTCTAGATCCCAGACTGCTCTTCCTCACGTTTCTGGGCTTGCTTCAGCTATGCTTCGTCAAACTCCATTGCAGGTTAGGTATCCCTATTCTTTACCAAACTTAAAAGGGCGTGTTTGTTTCGTCTAAAGCTTTTAGTTCATTGAACTTGGCTTCGGGAAATTATTTAAACACCTTAGTCACCTCATCCATGAAATTTCGTTTGTAACTTTACCCCGATTGAAATTTGTCCTTGAAGTTATATTTCTATAATAGTCATTTCCCCTACTACACTATTTCTTTGTTATTGAACTATTTATCATCTTATCCGTTGCTTCTTTTTTACTAAGCTTGTCATTCCAGCAACTCCATTTTTTAGGGAACTTATTTTTCAGAAAAGCTGAAACCGATGCCCTGGGTTCCTGTCCAACCTCTCATAGATGGGATGGTGCTTGATTTTTTCGATACCTGACAGTCTTTGTTTGCAGAACGTGAACCATCAAGCAAGGTACGTCAACAGTCCAAGTCCTCGTCCAGCTGCTGGTTTAACCTCTGGTTCGCTCCCAGGTGGTCAGAGAGTATCATCCTCACCCACGTCTCTTCCCCGTCCAGCTGCTGGTTTAACCTCTGGTTCAATCCCAGGTGCTCAAAGAGTATCATCATCACCCACACCTCTTCGGATGCCTTCACCCGCAAGTCATCCCACGATTGTCCGGACTCCATCTCCTTTATCACGAGCTTCAACTTTCCAAGCGGCTCAAGCCAGCAGCTCTGTTCCACGACCACAAGCCAGGCCGGTGTTGGCGGGTTCCCAGCAGCAAGCAGCAGCATCACCCCATATGATACCTACTAGACAGCCTCCAGTGGTCCCGGTTCAAATGCAATCAGCCCGAGCTCCACATGTAGCACATTCTCAAACAGCTACTCCTACAACATCCTCACCTACTGTCCCATCAACCGAACAGAGCTGGCGGCCAAGTGGCAAAATGCGTGGAAGTCTGCAAGGTCGGAACATGGACGAAATTATGAGCTTGCTTCAGACCACCCAACAGACACCACCTGGAGGAACACCGTCGAGTTCTATGCTGTCTGAGGCCACCATAGCACCTCACCTTCGTGGTCTATTCGAGAATAGCCCAAGATAAGCTAAGATATTTAATGTACAGAGAGCATCGGCTGTTCTTTTCGTGAGCTCCAAAGTCCTTGTAAAGTTCCACAGCCAAGCAGTTGACTCGTTACGTTGTTCTCTTAACTTAAGTTTGATTTGGAAGATTTTAGTAGTATGTTTATCGTTGTCGACTCGTTATGCTAATCTCTAGCTCCAGTTTGATATATATATATATATATATATATGGTGACGTATTCGGTGCACCCACTTTTTCGGGTGCACTCAGTGCACCCGCCTCATAATTGTCATTCTAACCATGCGATTCATGTCAAAACGGTATCAATTGTTGCTTATGATATTATGAACAAGAAGCACATGAATTTGAAAAAAATTCATTCAAAATTTACTTTAATTTGAAGGATTTAGGGTTTAGGGATTTAGGCTTAGGGTTTAGGTTTACAATTTGGGATTTTGGGTTGGGATTCAAAATTGAAGGTTAAGGGGTTAGGGTAATGGATTGATTTGTTATGATTCTATGTCATATCATCATATTATATTGAGAGTACTAATTAAAGTTCAAAATTTGAAGTATTTTGGACGCTTTTAGAGTTGGGTGCACTGAGTGCACCCAAAAAAGTGAGTGCACCGAAGTAGCCACCTATATGGTGATGACTAGTGTACGTCAGGCGTATAGCATACGTCAGGTGATCTAGCCGTTAGATGTAGTTAGATGAGCTCCGGCCGATCTCAACGATCAACTTTTATTTTTCATTAAATCAAACTTCTGGTTAGGGTTTAGAAAATTGGTGCCTGGAGTTTATCCATTAGAGGTTAGAGTATAGTATCATACCCCAAACTCGATTTAATTCATGGTCTAGATAGAGATATCTCACTAGTAGTACCTACGTATAGTCTACGCCTGACGTACACCAATCTGACCCATATATATATATATATCCATATCTATGATAAAAGAAATAAAAAACCCCAACTCTGGTCCTCTTTAACAATGCTAAACATGACAGCTGATGAATCTGAGTGAAAATAAAGCCAAAGCCCAAAACAGATAGAAGCATGAAAAGTTTGGGTCATTCTGTGCACTGTGATTCCTTTCCTTCTAACATATAAACTACGGTTACATCTACTAGGCAGAACTGGAGAAACCCTCCAAAGAAGTTTTGAACTCAGTAAGGTTGTGGATCTCCAATCTTTCACAAAATCATATAAGAAACAGGGGAAAGGAAAACCGAATAGAAAAAAGACCCCAAAATACAGCCAAGGCAAATGAAATTTCTAGTACTCCCACTTCTTCATCTCCATGCCATCAGGTGCGCTGCCTTCTATCTTCTTCGCACCCACTTCTTTCCAGTCTGTTGACAGCACTGTCCCATTCGACTCCACCTGTTGCAGGTTCAAAAGATTCACATCAACTGACCATTGCACATGGCAGTGAAAAAGCACAATGAAGGTTGATCGTTAAACTTACGAAAGATTTGCTCATAGCCCTTCTCATGTCCTCATCGGCACTTGAGTAGATCTCCCTGAAAAACTTGTTCAATGCAGCATCACCATCTAGCTTCTCATCTTTCTCCTGCAAAATACCAAACATTATTACGGTTTTACCAAGTGTTGACTAAAAGTTCTGGAACGTTGTTATATACAAGTATAATACATCTGTATCAATACAGGCAGCTACTTACTTCCTTCTTAACTAGTGCTTCCAACTTATCCCAATCTTTGCCTCGAGATTTTGATGATGGGTATGCCGGCCTCTGAGAGACAACTACACATGCAAAACAAACATTCAACAGCATCAATTAATAAACATTGCTTTTCGGATCTGAATATATGATAGTTCGTACCTAAAATGAAGGATATGAGGGAGTCAGAAGCATGATTCATTACCTGAAGATGCATTTACTTGCTGCACGACTACAGCATTATTCCTATACTCGAGAGATATCCACTGAATAGGTTCAGCTTTGGCAAGGCGGATCTCGATCTTGGTAGTTAGCACCTGATATCTGCACTTATCTGGTAGCACCTATAGCCACGGAAGGAACAGGGGAAGTTAGTTACAAGCAAACCCAAGACAAGTATAACTCTGCAATCTGATTCATAATGGGAAATCACATGAAAAGAATCTAAATGCTGCAATTAGTTATCATACTTTGGCAAATAGTCGGGGTTGAAGTTGGTAACTCTCTTCGCCAGGAACATCAATTGTCACACTGAGCTGAAATATCCCGAACAAATTAAACGCAGCACATTAGCAAATTGAGCCAAATAAAATTTACGAGCTACTAGTACAAGGTCGAGCAATTAGTCATGTTCAATTAAAAAGAAATGACGAACTTCTAACGTACAATCTGATCACCAAAATCGACAGTGACATTCTCTGATTGGATTCCCTTGGCAAATATTGTTACAACAACTTCCTCAGCTTTCTGGTAGTATTCATGCCTGTTCCACAACCACTACCGATCATGAGCACAACAAAGAGTAGAATGTTTGCAGAAAGCAGTGATTACTGAAAAGCAGAATTTCTCTTTCTGCCTTTATCAGATAATTAGCTGTACAGAGTAAGACAATGCGTTGACACATGTTGTACTCCTATATGCTTGACAACTAGGAATATAACAGATCGATATATACCTAACTAGCTACACATTGAACAATGTGTTTGGGATATTTCTTTATCTTCAACGATCCCAAAAAATTTGGACAATTCAACGTATTTACAAATGCAAAAATGTTGATTCTATAAAAGATCCTAAGGCACCATAATAACTTGGGACAGGGCATGAAACTAACACTACTTACCTATACTTGGGCTTGGAGGGGATTGCATTCACCTGAGGTGAAGCAGCAGAAGCGGATGCAGATGCAACACTTGTTGGGGGCGGATTATTTGGAGCTACAGAATGGCTGAGCTCATTGGATTCATCTGAAATAAAAGCAACATACGCACATATACCATACATAAGCATCGTATTAGGGGTTTTACGGGAATGAAGAATCCAGATGAACGTATTTGAGAAACTAACACATACTCGCAATACTTTGATTGCACTCTTCGATCAACTTGGTAAATCTCTGATCTCCTTGATCCAAGGTAGCACCAATCTCAAGTGCTGCCTTTGCTGTTTGATATTCCTCAAGCTTAATGCAGGCAGTGCTGCATCATAAAGCAACCAATAAGACTGATACTATTCCACGCTGAATGAGGAGTTCAATGCAGCACGCGAATTTGGCAATTTGATGGGCAAGAAAACATGAAAGTTCACGACATAAACAAGTCTATTGGCTCATACCCTTTACGCAAATATGCCTTCACCATCGAAGGATTCAATTGAATCGCCCTATTTGCATCAGCAACAGCCTCTGTTCAAAACAAACCACAATTCCATGAAGTCCTCGAGAAAACATCAAGTCAAAACACGGCCCCTCCAACTCACACCAAATTCCCAGCGTCCATGTTACGACCTCAAGACCTACACACTAGCTGTATATTTAAAGAAGGAAAATTACAGTAATCAAGCTCCAGTACCAGTAAAGAGACTGAGTTTGATGTTGGCCTGAGCCCTGTCTGCGAAGTAATCCGCGTTGTTAGGGTTCAAATCGATGGCTTTCGAGTAGAAATCAACCGCCAGCTTAAAGTCGTCGTCCAAGAACGCTTCCTTCGCCTTCTCCGATAGTTCTGCCGCCATTGTTCAATTACCTTCTGTAAACAAGATGTGCGCCCAGGGTAGAAAACGGAACGGATTTATAGGAAGCAAATTGGCCGTTTCCTCGGCGGATTTTGGACTTCTGGTCTAGAGACTTCGACTTTGGCAGCGGAGACGACGACGGCGATGCGGAAAAGGAGTAGGATCCCCGGGCTCGGTTGGGTTCAGCCCAGGCTCGCCCAATCCTGATTGGGCCAAGGTTGGCTAACTTGTTGGGCCAACTTATTAAACGGGTTTTCGGCTAGTTTCAATAGCCCTGTGAGTCTCGATTTGAGCTCTCTCTCCAGTCCCAGAGTCCGGCCATCCCCGCAGTTCCAGTTCAGAGTCGGGACTCGGAAGTGAACCCGATTCGAAACTTCTCGCCGACCAAAAACAACTCGGTCGCTTAACTCAGTCATAGATGCACCTGGAGCTTTAGTCGGATCATGAAGTGCCGATCCGTGGCGTGTCTATGGCCGATCACGCCGCCGAGTCACAGAATTACTGCCGCGGCGGTTCTGAACCATCCCCCGACGCTCTACACCGGCGGATCAGATGGCTCCATCATCTGGTGGACACTCTCCACCAGTGAATCCAACTCGGTAATTCATTGAAGCTTCACCTCTATTCCCAGGATCATCGACGCAAGCTCGTTATCCATTTCGTTGCACATTTTGAGTTCATAGAAATTGTAGAGTGTTGTTTGTGAATTTTAGCTTCTTGAGTGAAATTCTATCTTTCCTTTAGTTGCAATTTGGTTGTTTGAAACTCTCCTCGATTTCTGATGGTGGGTTCTTCACATTAATGCAATTCAATTTTGGCTGTAGTTTAGTGATGTAATGCGTATTTGTGTCTTGTGACGGGTATTGATTGGTTATCAATTTTTTTTTTTTTTTTTTTTTTTACTTTGTAACTTGTATCCAGCTCAATAGATTTGCTTTACTTGGCAGGAAGTTAAACCTGTTGCGATGCTATGCGGTCATGGTGCACGGATTGCTGATCTGGCTATTTGTCATCCTGTTGTTTCTCTAGATGATAAACGAACAGACAACTCTAGTGATGATGCTACCAGTTATGGTGCCTTGTTTAGTGCATGCTTGGATGGTGTGTTATGTGTATGGAGCAGAGGTAGTGGACACTGTAGAAGAAGAAGGAAACTTCCTCCTTGGGTTGGAAGTCCATCCATTATTCGCACCTTGCCCACAAGTTCACGGTATGTATGCATTTGTTCTGTTGATGCTGCCCACTCATCACCTGGTCATTCCACTTCGGTGGAAGGGAGCCAGCCTCAAGTGGATGAGGATGTTCACCATTCAAAACCCACAAAGTGTACCGTAGTAGTTGTTGATTCATATAGTCTTACGATTGTGCAAACTGTATTTCATGGGGTTCTATCAATTGGGCAATTAAAGTTTATGGACATAGTTCTCTCAGGAGAGGATGGAGAGACCCATTCTGTTTTAATGGCTGACTCATCTGGAAAGGTGCAATTGGCTCCTATTCTAAAGGATTCACCCGCAGATAGTAAGGTAGAGACTGCCTTGGACAAGAATTTACCGTTTGAGGAAGCTATTTCAGGGAATGGGTTGGGTGAAGGAGGAGAGGTTGTCTCGGTTGCAACTCATGGAAACATTGTGGCTCTTGTTTTACAAACTTGCTGCTTATTTAGGCAGTTGACAAACAATATCACCATAGGGCAAATATCTTTTGTTGACCAGCTGGTCTTTACTGAGGGCAATCATGTCCACTCCATTGTACTTGGGGGTACGTTTCTCAAAAGTGTAGATAGTCCTGGTCTGCAGTGTAACCAGGATAACTTTCTTGAAAACTTTGTTGTATGGAACAGTGCAGGTGCAGCTATTGTGTACCTTGTGTCATATTTGGATGACATATTCAAATGTGAACCTCTCTGCAAAGTTCCTGGTGCTTCTCATGCAGTTGATACGAAGCTAATGATATCTTTTGTTCAGTTAAAGGACCATCTTATACGATTTGAATCAGTTTGCTTTAATGTGGAGGAGCCTCTGCATTGGCAACCCCATTTTACTGTCTGGTCACTGTTGGATAAGCAAGATGAAAGAGCAGAATGGTCCAAAAATTGCCAAAAATGTGGAGAAAGTGATCCTTTTTCTGGTTGGATCTCAGGTTCTGACTCATTGTTTGAGCTGAATGGCTGCGATGGCAGGAGGACTCCAAAAAAAATTTCCCCGACCTCTAGCCCGAGTTTCAAACCTGAAAAGGAATTAAAGGATAAACATACAGGTAGATCCATGCTTGAGGTACAAACTGTGTCTTCTTCCATGGTTATATCTGAAAACCTTTTTGTTCCTTATGCCATTGTATATGGGTACTTCAATGGTGAAATAGAGGTTGTACGCTTTGATATGCTTCCAGCACATGATCTCCATAATGAAGAACAGAGCCTGCATCATGATCCTGATTTATGTGCATCCAGACAATACTTCACAGGACACACAGGGGCTGTGCTGTGTTTGGCTGCACATCGATTGCGGCGTCCTTCAGATGGATGCAGTTGTAGCCAAGTTTTAGTTTCCGGAAGCAGTGATTGCACTATTCGCATTTGGGATCTTGATGGCGGAAACCCCATTATTGTGATGCATCATCATGTTGCTCCTGTACGGCAGATAATTTTCCCTCCTGCCCAGACAGAGTATCCATGGAGTGATTGTTTTCTCTCTGTTGGAGAGGACTCCTGTATTGCTCTTGCTTCCCTTCAGACTCTTAAGGTAGAGAGAATGTTTCCTGGGCATCCTAGCTACCCTGAAAAGGTAGTGTGGGATGGTCTGAGAGGTTATGTTGCTTCTCTTTGTCACAAACAGTCAGCAACATCACATGCAGTTGATGTTCTCTATATCTGGGATGTCAAGAGTGGTGCACAAGAGCGAGTCCTTCGTGGAGCAGCTTCTCATTCAATGTTGGATCATTTCTGCAAAGGTATCAGTGCAAGTTCGACATCTGGTTCCTTTTTGAATGGAAATACTTCTGTGTCAGCATTACTATTTCCTATAATTGAAGACGGGAGCTTTTCTCCATCTCACAGAAATCATTCAGAGAAGAAGCCCTTATCATATACTGTGCCAAATAGAGCCAACCCTGCATCTTCTGAAGGACAAGAGAATAAACAGACTACTGCAAAACTATCTCCAACCAAGCTGTTTCACTTCCAAAGCAACAAGCATCCAATCAGATGCACTTGTCCATTCCCTGGAATCGCGTCCCTGAGTTTTGACCTTTCATCATTGATTTCTTCTCATGACAAGCAGTTATCAGTATCAGTAACCAGTGGTAATCAAGAACACAGGAATGTGAAAGAACAAGAAATTCCGAGCCCTCAACATGTATCTGGTCATGATGGTTTCGATAAGGGTTCAGTCTCTGCTGATCCTGAAGATGAGCACAACTGGACTAGGTCTCTGGAAGTGTATTTGTTGCGATTTAGCTTGTCATTTTTGCATTCATGGGATATAGATAGCAACCTTGACCGACTGCTAATAGCAGATATGAAGCTAAGAAGACCGGCCAATTTTATTTTGGCTTCTGGTTTGCAGGGGGATAAAGGGTCTTTGACACTGACCTTTCCTGGATCTAGTGGTATTCTTGAGGTATCTTTATGAGAAACTCTAAGAAATTTGACATATTTTGCTGGTTCTTCTATTGGCAGTCTTTCTGAAATTTGGCTTAATTTGGCTAAAAATATTGCAGATGTGGAAATCATCTTCGGAGTTCTGTGCTATGAGATCCCTGACTATGGTGTCAATTGCTCAACGCATGATTAGTTTGTCTCGCTCAAGTTCAGTGGCCAGTAGGTCAGAAGACACAACATTATTGTCTTGGTTATGACTTATGCACACATTTCTTACTGCTACTAATTTGAGATTCTCCTTCTGATTTTCTTGAAGCAGTGCCTTAGCAGCATTTTATACTAGGGGTATTGCAGACAAAGTTCCAGATACAAAGCCACCTCTACTGCAGGTCACATCTTTTGCTACTTATATCTGTTTCTGAATCCTATGTTTGATCGGGTGATGCCAGCTGTGCATATGATTTCTGCTATATGCTCTCCACTTACCCTGGGTTGCTTGGGGCTATTTTCTTTGGGCTATCCGGCTATGGTGAAGTAGAGTCAATACTGACTGCACTTGCAAGTGAAAGTGATGCAAAACACTCTTAAGATGCTGTTTCAGTATTTAGGGTTGATTTCATATGGGCTCTCTCTATCAACATCATTGTGAATGATAGCTATCTCAAAGGAAAGAATCCTTAAGCCAACTCTCAGTCATATATGCTGCATTAAGGGGTGATTCCATTTAATAAGCTTTCTCTATCAACTTCTTTGTGAACCAAAAACTATCTCAAGTGAAAGAATCCTTGAGCCAACTCTCAGTCCTACTTACTGCAGAGGTTCTTGAAAGTGACATTATATTGAATCTAAAACGATTTTTGAGTGATCCCTAGCTTCCCACTACAGAAAAAGTTGTCGGGGAAGCTACTATTATTCCCATGTAAAAAAGTTAACCAAAATTGTGATAGTAATGTGACATCAGCACAGGATTTGTTTCCCGATATATTTAGCACTTTGCTTATCTTTACACTCAATTGCTGTATATTTTGCTTTTCAAACAGCTTCTGGCAAGTTTCTGGCAAGATGAAAGCGAACATGTCCGTATGGCTGCACGTTCTATATTCCACTGTGCTGCTTCTCGTGCAATTCCACTTCCTCTAAGTGGTGAAAAAGCTGTAGACCATGCAAGGTTTCTGAGATCTTTGAGTGGAAATGATTATAGTCAAGTTCCCAATGCTTCCACGTCGACTAATGGTTCGGCTTCCGACATGTTACCTGAAGCAAGAACAAGTACAGAGGTTGAAGAGCATTGTGGGACTTCACCTGATTCACCTGGGATTAGTGAAACAGAAAAATCTAGAGTACTTGCATGGCTGGAGTCCTTTGAAGTGCAGGACTGGATTTCTTGTGTTGGGGGAACCAGTCAAGATGCAATGACGTCCCATATAATTGTTGCAGCTGCATTGGCTGTATGGTACCCTAGCATGGTGAAGCCAAGTCTTGCATCCCTTGTTGTTCATCCTCTAATAAAGTTGGTCATGGCCATGAGTGAAAAATATAGTTCTACTGCTGCAGAGCTTCTTGCTGAAGGTATAGAGAGTACATGGAAGGCATGCTGTGGTTCTGAAATAGCTCGTCTCATTGGGGATATTTTTTTCCAAGTAGAATGTGTAAGTGGAACCTCAGCAAATCCTGCAGTGGGTTCACCTTCCATTCTAGAGACATTAGTTGAGATTCTTCTTCCAAGCTTAGCAATGGCCGACGTTCCAGGTTTCTTAGCAGTGATAGAGAGTCAGATTTGGTCCACTGCATCTGATTCACCTGTTCATCAGATATCACTTACAACACTGATGAGGGTTTTGCGTGGTTCTCCGAAGCAATTGACTCAGCACCTTGAAAAGGTTGGTAATTGCCACATTTCATTAGGTGAAACTGCAATTGGTCACAATTTCAGACTCAAATCTGTATGAATGTCGGTTTGACTTGTGGACAGATCTGCAGGTTGTTACGTTCATTCTGCACACAATTGACCCCAGTAACTCAGTGATGCGGAAACTTTGCCTACAGACCTCTATGACAACCATAAAGGAAGTTGCACGTGTGTTTCCTATGGTGGCCTTAAACGAGACATCTAGACACTTGGCTGTTGGGGATGCAATTGGCGAAATTAATAATGCTAAGATTTCATTATATGATATGCTAAGGTACAATACACAACTTTCTGATGCCAAGTTGTCCCTGGCCTTGCATTTGACATGTTCGTCATGTTACATGTTAAAATACTCTAGATGTGGGGATGCAATTGGTTATTTGGTTGTCCCTGCAGAATATAGTCATCTTCCTATGACAATTGCTTAAGTTGATATTTTATTTATCTAACATACAGAAGTTGTTTTTATCTGGAAGAGTTATCTAAGAAATCTTAGGTAGCGTGTGTAGTACGGAAACATGTCGTAGCACATTGCTAGACTGTTACATGTACTTTTCCATTTGCAAATTAGCTTCTGAGTTCAGATATACATATACCAATTAAAACCAAGTCTCGCTACCTCAAGTTTGTATAGGAAGTACTATGAATTGGGTTAACCCTCTGGTTTCCCCATCTCAAGTCGTCATTTTTGGACGTCAAACAATTGATATGGTCTTTGGTGTTTGATGGTTGTGATTGAGGGTAATTTCTGAATATACATTGCATTAACCAACTTCAATCATGAGAAAGAAATCAGGAACTTGACGTGTTTCAGGCCCAACTTCAAAGGTGCTGCTTACCACTCAATAATTCAGATGGAAAGCAGAAAATAGTGTTCTTTCCGGAAGTCTTTTCGGTTTTCATTCTGTTCTAACATATTTAACTGCTTCACTGCCTTGGCTACTTTTGTATCCTATATCTGATGTACTTGGAGGAGTTACGGTAGTTGCTTTAACCTGCACTTCTCTCCCTGTTCAATCTAGTGTGACAAAGATCAGAGTTTTGGATGCAAGTGGGCCTCCTGGACTTCCAAACTTGCTGTCAGCATCTCAAACAACAGTCACCACTTTAGTTTCCGCTCTGAGCTTTTCCCCTAACGGAGAGGTACTTATATCGAATTCCTGGTCTCATGTATATGATTCATTTGACACGAGCACCTTGTGACTACTGGAAACTTTGTTTTCTTATGTTGTTACTTTTGCTGCATACATTCAGGGACTGGTGGCCTTCTCCGAACACGGTTTAATGATCCGATATTGGTCGCTGGGATCTGTTTGGTGGGAGAAACTGAGCAGGAACGTTGCCCCTCTCCAGTGCACCAAAGTGATTTTTGTTCCTCCCTGGGAGGGATTCTCACCTCATAAATCCAGGTCCAGCGTAATTGCAAGTATAATGGGACATGATACAGATACCAAACTACAGGCGAGTTTCTGTCATTGTTTCAAAAAGTCATTATCAAGAATTCTGCATATGAATGTTCAAAACACTTGTCCTTCTGAATTATCTTTTTGCAGGAGAACTCCCCTAGAAGTGGTGTTGGCGACAGTCCCAGACCATTGATGCACAATTTCGACCTCTCTTACCGATTAGAATGGGTCGGTGACCGTAAAGTAAATCTTACAAGGCATGGCCAGGAGTTAGGCACCTTCCCACTATAGGCATTATCAATTCCCTTGCATACCCATGGACTCCTCTAAAGCGGCCCCTCTTTCAAAGAAATCAATCGGGTGATGATTGTGACAGATGCACAGCAACATCTGGTGACAGTCTCCTAATCTTTCATCTGGTAATTCAATGAAGCTCATTCTCTTTATCCTCTGCATCTGCACTTGCTATGGAGCTTGAATTTCAGAAAGGAACTCAAAACCGAGGTCACAGGAAGACTTGAATACATGATATCAATATATACTCATGTCTCATTCAACTACTGGGTCGTCGTAGTCGGCATGGAATCTAGAGTTTTGGTTACATTTTTATTTGCTTATATGGAGATATGTAGATAATTCCTGGTTGAAGGAGCACACGATTTGTTTAGGCATTTGAGTACTTTGACACGTAAACTAGAGCTTCGGTTCTGTTGTGGAGGAATTCCTCTGTACATATGTTCATCATGTCATAGATATTACCACAAATGGTTTTGGAGTTCTCCAATCTATCCCATTCGTCTTATAAGTTTACTGGTAATTAGTAGTTTACACTAAATTAAGGTTTTTCCTTCGGATCGACTTCGAATGGTTCTTTTCTTTTACAACAATCTCGAATTATCAATCCTCATTCATCTCTTCACTCGATTGCATCTCCCAGCTCAAGTCCGCCCTCAGGGACCGAAAAGGTCAACAACCCGAAATCAATGCTCATCTGCAGGTTGAGTGTATGAATATCATTCATCCAAAAGAATTGAGCATATTTTGATGTATCCAGATTGAAACACTTCGAAATCGAAAACGTATAATCAAAGAGATGGAAGCTAGGAAGAGCAAAACAGTTCGGATTGATGGCTTTGCTTACATCCACAGAAGGTCATGCGTAATGATCATCTCCCCATTTTACAACGAAATTTCCATTTCCTATTTTTTGTCCTTTGGCATGGCTACATCTTCTCCAATCACGCCCACACTTCCAAAGCTCCACTCCACCATGTTTCATGTCACATTTTATTTCATGTCAACAAGTTACCATAGAGTCGCACTATAATAATAACAATGGTGCACATTGACCTATATATGTATATGATGGGGAAACAATAAAGAAGGGAGGAAGAAAACTTAGGCAGATAGCATGTGCAAGATATCAATGGTAACAAGGAAGAAGAAACCTCCTTGGCTCGAGGGTTGGGGGAGAAAACAGTATGGAGCTTGCTTGTAATGTTGCATTGGCGTGACAGAATAATCTGCTGTTAACAGAAAACACAGACGCATTCACGCAACAACAGTTTCAACTTTCAGGAAAGAAAGAACCACAGAGGAGATAGATTAGCTAGCTAGCTTAGCTTGTTGTTTTAGGTGGGATTAGATAGCTGTTTTTCAGGTAATAGCTAGTGTTACCTGTTTTTGTAAACCGACGACATTGATTGAGTTCGATCGGTTGCCTGCATAGAAAGGTCAATTGCTACAATACCAGAAGCTTAGTGGTGGGAAAAAAAACCAACCAGATGATTCGGCTAGATGTGTAACGGACTAAAACTATTTATTTGCCTTTTGTTTGATTCAATATTTTTTTCAGGAGTTCTTAGTTGAAGTAAACTACTGTTGAGTTGAGCTGCTGCTATACATACAGGATTATTTGCATTTCGCACGTCCAGGAGTGGGGCCATTCAGTATATGAATGGATTATTTGCATGGTGACTACATATATAAATATATCAACCAATACTTTTGCTCTTCCAATTTCTTAATGTTGTGGCTAATAGATTTCACAATCTCTTAAACTTTTGAACGAACCTTTTCGATTCATAGGTTAATAGTCATAGTACCTATGTAGCATATTCCCTTTCCCCAATCTAATTCATAATCAAGTTTGATACTTTAATTTCCATCGCTCTTGAAATGAACTTCTACCATATTGCACTAATTTTTCTCTCGTCAACACAAAAATAATAAAGAGCTGCAATTTACATTCTTTTATTGAGCTATAAAATTAGCTACTAATTCAACAAAAGAAGCATTTTTTTTTTAATAAAACAAAAGAATCGTCTTAGTTAGTCCCATGCACATAATTTCCGCTCGATAATCATATTATTCGCGTTCAAATAATTCACACATTCAATGTGCGTGTTTTCCACTTATATGTTTGTCTTAAAACAAACAAAAAATTCACTTTGAAATTGATATCATTTTTTTTCTCCTCTTCATACCAATGTAATGGGTTTAATTCAAACATTTCTTTACTCTCCTCCATGAAAACCCTAATCAAACCTATACATTCACGTAAATTGCATTATTTCATCTCTATAATTCAATGTGAACATTGCTTCCTCCAGCCCACGACTTCTCTATCCCCACACAAAACCCTATTTGCGGTAACAATAAATACGAGAACGTGGATATCGCCATAATGGATTTCTTCTCCCCCAATTTTTCCCCAACGGAAAAAACGAATTTAATGATGTAAATAAACACTTACCAAAAAGAAACGAGAGATCATGGGGCGCCGTGTATAAATATCCCAAACCACCCAAACGGCTACCTCGCAGCCAATTTAGGGTTTCACAAAAAAGAGAGATCAGGGAGCGCGATTATAGCTTTGAGCTGGTGCCTGCGCAAATGGGGCGTAGGTTAGTTTGGGGGCTCCTCATTGCTTTCTTGTGTTGCGCCATTTCTCTCTTCTTGGCTCCTAACGACCTCCATCGATCCCTCGTCGCCGCCACCAACCATGCACAACAAGACCACCACGTCAACCGAGCCTACAACGACGCCCTTGCCAAATCCATCTTGTTCTTCGAAGGCCAGAGGTCCGGCAAGCTCCCCGCCGACCAGCGCGTCACGTGGCGCGGGGATTCCGCCCTCGCCGACGGCCAGCCCGACAACGTAAGCAGTTGTTCATTCGATGATGATAAGACGTTAATTGGTTGTTGCATGAGAAGTACGTAGTTTCGAAAAATGGGATGATATGAAACGAAGAACCAAATCAATTTGGTAAAAAAAATTTGTTGGTTTCTTTGTGTAATTTTTTGGGTGGCCGGGTGCAGGTGAATTTGGTGGGAGGGTATTATGATGCGGGGGACAATGTGAAATTCGGATGGACGATCTCCTATACGACGTCGCTTTTGAGTTGGGCTGCAATCGAGTACCGTCAACAGATTACCTCCGCCGGCGAGATCGAGCACCTCCGGCAAGCCATTCGCTGGGCCACCGATTTCCTCCTCCGTTCCCACACTTCCTCCACCACTTTCTACACTCAGGTTTCTTTCTTTCAATTAATTTCCCATCATCTTCATACGACATCACTTTGACGTTAATCAAGTTGATTAGGGTTAATCTTTATATATAGGCCTTGTTATTAGTTGGCACATACGTATGTTGTGTTTCCTTTTTGCTCTGAAAATTGCAATCCATGTGATCGAGTAAAATATTATAGCCATGTTCCATAGAAGGATATAGTTGTTTAATGGAATTATGACGTCATGCGCGGCGGCAGGTTGGGGATGGGAACAAGGACCACAGTTGCTGGGAACGGCCGGAGGACATGGACACACCTCGTACGCTCTACAAGATCACTTCCCAGAATCCTGGATCCGAGGCCGCCGGCGACGCCGCGGCCGCGCTCGCCGCCGCTTCCATGGTGTTCGAGCATGTCGATGCTGCTTATTCCTCCAAGCTACTCCAACACGCCAAATCAGTAATCAATTTAATTAACCACAATACTAATTACTTTCTTATAATTGTAAAAAAACGTGCGTACGTAACTGCGGCCACCTAAATTTTTTGCCTGCATGCAGCTGTTTGAATTCGCGGACAAGTATAGGGGTTCTTACGGTGCTTCCTGCCCTTTCTACTGCTCCTACTCCGGCTACCAGGTGATTAATTAGGATAGAGCCAAATTGAAGGGTGGTTGTTGAAATTAATTGATTGATTAATCAAACTAATGTCTCTTTTGTGATCGTTATAAATCGATGTTTAATTATTGGTAAATAATTAATTGCGTGCGGACGTGCATGCTTATGAATAGGATGAGTTGTTGTGGGGGGCAACGTGGCTGTACGAGGCAACCGGTGACAAAAAGTACCACGGTTATCTCACAAGCAACCAGGGTTGGAGTGGCTCGGTTAGTGAGTTCAGTTGGGATAACAAGCTTGCTGGTGTCCAAACTTTACTCGCCAAGGTAACATTATAATTAATTAACTTAATTGATCACACATATAATATAAGATAAACATATACTTAAAAGTAATTAGTTATATGGTCGGATGGATGCAGAGATTCAACGGTGGAGATAAGGAGTTGGGGAAGTACAAGAGCGATGCTGAATCGTTCATTTGTGCACTCATGCCTGGGAGTGGCTCTCAACAAATCCAAACTACTCCTGGTACGTGTGAACATGTGATTTTTTTTTTTTACCAAAGACGAACAAAGTAAATTATTTTTTACTGGGTATATATGTTGTTCATCAGGAGGGCTAATGTACACAAGGGACAGTTCAAATCTACAGTACGTGACAAGCTCAAGCATGCTTCTCTTCATCTACTCCAAGAACTTGGTTGTGTCCCGCGTCAATGGCGTTCATTGTAGCTCCAAGTATTTCTCCGCATCTCAAATACGTGCATTTGCCAAATCTCAGGTATATGATAATCGATTCGAATTTAAGATCTCCAAATTATAACATCATCATTTCTTTTACATGGCTAAACAAATAATTTAAACATTCTAATTCTTTTGCCTTTTCTTTTTTACAAGGTGGACTATATACTAGGGAAAAATCCGATGAAGATGTCATACATGGTTGGGTACGGAAGCAAGTTCCCACAACAGCTGCACCATCGAGGCTCGTCCCTTCCCTCGATCAAATCCCACAAGCCCAAGATCAGCTGCAACGATGGCTACGACCACTACTACTCCTCGAGCCAGCCCAACCCAAATGTCCACGTGGGGGCCCTGGTGGGTGGGCCGGACTCATCTGACAATTACCCTGATCAGCGATCCGACTATTCGCATGCCGAGCCCACGACTTATATCAATGCTGGCTTTATCGGCTCGGTGGCTGCTTTACTCTGATTGCATTTACATGCACATGTATATTAGTGACTAGTGAGGATTAATCTCTTAGTCCATTTCGATTAACGTACGTGTGTGTAAATATAAAAAAGAACACACCAGTGTAAAAGTTTAGGCAGTCGTCCTTAATTTGTAACCTGAAATAGTAGGTGGATGGAACTTGGAAGGGTACTACAATGGTTATAATACTCAACCAGCCCTGGTAGGAGTTGTAACATGGACAAACCATTATGCATATTATCTCCATATCAACTTATATCTCCTTGATTACAGAGTGGGAGATATAATTATTTTGGTTTTTTATTATTATTAGAGCATAAATATAGCCAACAATGGGATCAGAACCTAGAATTTGAAGGTTGAAAATTATAGGTAGTCTCGCTCAATCAAATCCTTCTTTGTAGAGACCCATTTCTACTACGAAGATTAAGATTACGTAATACTTGTAATTTTGGACTCGTTATATTAATTTTATTGAAAAATATGGAACATCGGCAAATGATAATTCATGTTGATTTCTATAACATACATAAGATAGTTGTGATTCAAAACATGATTTATGAGTTGTGATTAATGATCACTTATCTATAACATACGAATATAGCATGAGTGGAATTTCCTTCTCCCAAATAAATGCTTTAAGCATGAGGTGTGAATATAATTGGCTACTCTTTATTATAGAAAGTCATGTTCACGAGATTTTTTCAATCAATAAATACCAAGATCTAGAAAAGGAAAGACAGAGTTAGGGAAATAGTTGTTTTTATGAGAAATTGGAGGAAACCAAAAAGTCCTTCCGAACACAAATTTAAATGAAAATAGAATTCCATAGACGCACTACAAAAAAGACAGTCATTAGTGACCAGAGGTTTCCGTACGTGAAGCCGTAATTCAATCACAAATGTGTTTTTGCAATGTCATGTTGTCGTCGCCGTTTCAAATACAAGCATCACAAATAATTTTTGTGTGGCGAGCAATTGTAAAGGCTGTTTGTGACGACTCAGAGTTGTCTCTACAATTAATATGGTCGTGACTAATGTATTTTAAAGTTGACGAACTTGTAAAATTTTGTTTGTGACGGCAAAAAACCATCGCAATAATTAATAAACTCGTCGCCTAGTCGATAATAGTTTCATATTGATGAACCTGACGATGATGTCATTCTTGTGACAAATTGTTTGTGATTATCGTTGATTTTCTCAATTGTGATGAGATCATTCTCAATCTACAATTAAAATTTTGAGGCTAGTAATTACTTTGATTTTCTCAAATTTTATTGGCATAGATAACCCATATATAACCAATTTGTCCACTAAAAAATTGGAACCCCAAATAAACAAATAGTAGAAGAAAATATTAAATAAATCCATCTATACTGTTGTTCATATACAATATATGCTATTATTGTTTCACATAATATATTACATACAATATATGTGCTCATGTAAAAAGAAACAAACACAACAGGAGAAGAAACACTATTGTTGCTACATCTCTGGCGACTCCCCGATCATTCTTGCTAATGACCTTGAACGACTTTCCTCAATCCTCATTCTCGGCTATTCCAAAAGAAAGATAATTAAATATCAGTATCTTAAACATATATTGATGTAATAGTGTTTGCTATACTAAATTGATTATACAAGAATCAAGATGAGTAGATTATCATCGTCCCCGTCACTTAAGAAATATACGACGATGTGTCAAGAACTCCACCTGCTGCTGGCTATGTCTTCATCTCGTTATTCAAATGACTAATATTTAATGAATGTATATGGTGAAATGTATCACACCTATTCTCGATCTATCCTCGATAAAAGTCCTTCCTTTTACTGGCCAAACACGGTTCGAAGTTAAGACACATATATTGGGTTGCTGAAAATACGTGAGTTCTTCCCCCATTTCATTAGAGTTGTAAAAGTGACAATTTTGACGGTTTATGGAGGTACATTTGATGAATTCTGTTTGAACCTAACTGAGTGTAGGAGTGAGGTTCGGAAATGAAAGTGGATCAAGGGGAGTAAGCAATGGAAAATCGACTATATGACGTAGAATAAAGGTCTGGGAGAAAGAGGTTGAGAGAATCAGTATTCTAGAGAGAGAAGTTGATGTTCTTAGAGATAGAATCCCCAAAATGCGATCCCCTCACCCACCGTAGTAAATGCCATATTTATAGGCTACATGGTGGTGGGTGAGGTACATGACGGTACAATGACATGACCACTGACATGTCAGAGGTTTAGGACATACCCCTACCTAGGACATGTCAGGGGTTTCTTTATGATTGTATCTAAGACCCTGATGTGACCACCCCTCGGGAAGCGTGATGTCGCCTGCTGCGGCTCTTTGGTCTGGTCAACGCTTGATCTTTCCACGTGCGTGTGTAGCCTGTGCCGCGCTCGAGGTGCCGCGCTCGAGGTCTTCATGCTGGAGCGCCTTCGGTCGCGTCGCGCCCTAACGTGCTTGGCAGCATCGGAGGTAATGTCGGTGTGCTACCCTGGCGCGACTAGGTCCGAGTCACATGCCCAACAAATTCAACTTGAAAAAAGATAGTCTCCTTGAAGCCTTTTGGTTGTTCATCAGTCTCCTCCCATTCACAACAAAGAGACAATCTTCACATCTATTTGCCGAACATCAAAGTTGATTAAGATTTGTTGCTAGTCTCAATACAGTAAGATAATTGATGTCATCTTTGATTTTTAGTGAGAGGAGGATAATAATATATGAAATGTAAAGGGAAAACATGAAATATGAGCAATTTAGTCACTTTATCAATGCAAAGTGAGCAAATATTTGTTTTGTTTTTTTTTTGAGAAACGAGCAGCAAATGATAGTTGTTTGTAATGTCTATAGATACATAAAACATAGTGTTAACAGTAAATGCTAGGTCTGGAATCGAGTAGTTGGTCTCAGGTTTTCATCTCAACTATTGAGCTAGTCACTATATATATTCATTAAATATTAATCATTTAGTAGCACCCTTGCTAGTCACTATTGAGCTAGGATGCCTAGAAATTCATCTCAACTTTGAAATACTATGTATTTTTTTATTTTTTATTTACATTTGATCAGTTTTCTAATGAATCTCTCATGGTTCCACTCAACTTTTAACTTTGATGAGCTCTACCCAGTGGCGGAGCCACGTTATAACCAGGACGGGCTATAGCACCCCTCCCCCTCAACTTTTAAAATTGCGTAAATTTACGTCTACATATTTTGCAATGAATTTGAAAAATAGAATATGTAGTATGGCTTTAGCCCCTCCCAGTTCAAACCCTTTGAACGTGAATTTTTAGCCCTCTCTAATTCAGATTTCTGACTTCGTCACTGGCTCTACCCATTTGGATTCTCTTCATACGAACCCTTTGATTCATATTTCTGTCATATGAACCGAACCAACTTGTTATCCCAAACAATACTATACTACCTAGATCTGGTACAAAAACTATAAATTTGGTTTCCAAAGTATATAAAATATCTTGGAACCGCATTACATATGCCATTTACATTAATAACTTACAAGTGTGCTCCCATTACAGAGACAAAGTCAAGTGAGTCCTGAAACGGGCATTTAATTTCGTTGCTTGAAGCAAAGGGACTTTGCCGGGAATTGAATTTGGAGGCAAAATGTTAGGTTTCGATGATATTATTATTTGTATAAACTAATTAATCAAGTAGGTGTAGGGGGCTCATCCTTTTCCTCCATTATTAAAAAATATTGTACCATCGGTCACTGTCCCTTTTCCCCACAGTTAGGCGGTGAGCTTGGAACGGGCTGGCTGGATCTCTCTTCTCTTCACACCTTGATTTTATTTATTATTACACCATATTTATTCCCTAACAAATCGTTAATTTATATTGTAGAAATGCGCAACTTGGCTTTGAATAATCTACGCCTCGTAACCAGTTGATCCATTATTATCATCATTAGGGATGGCAATTTTGCCCATACCCATGGGTATTTTACTATCCAACCCAATTGGGTTGGGTATGAAATCCAAATATATGGATATGGGTAAAGTTTGATGGGTTTGTACCCATACCCATTTACTTTGGGTTGGATTTGGGTTTGTACCCATGCCCAAATACAAATTACAGTTTGGTACCTAAACTTAATAGATATGCATATTTAGTACCTAAATTTAATTTTTTTTGCATATAAGTCCTCAAAATATCAATGGAAAATTACGTTTTGGTACCTAAATTTTTTTGGTCTTACATTTTGGTACCTAAACTTTTCAAGTTTTACAAATAGGTCCAATTTTTGCATGTGTAGTTAAAACACTCTCAAGTAAATGGATATCCATATCCAACCCATACCCATTTAGATAATATCCATATCTAACCCAAACTCATACACACATCACCCAAACCCTACCCATAATAAATGGGTCTACTTGGGTTTGGGCAAAATTACCCATGGGTGGGTAAATTGCCATCCCTAATCATCATTACTCAAAAACAGGAGATCCCGTCATCCACCATGTGTTAACAGCACTCAAACGACGACATTCTACCTCTTTTACAAGAAATTGTCGCGTAAAAAAGTATACTTAATTTCCATTACATTTATTTTTTTTATATATCCATACACAATAAATACAACATGTGAATCTTGTCGAATGATATTATATTGTTTCCGTGTATTCACTGAAAAAATGGTGAGTTTTTCTGGGAATGTGCATCTCATATCCTTTTAATCTCGCTATAATATTTAATTAGTCCAAAAGTAAGGACTTAAACTAGTTTAGATACTTAAGATCAATCTAACTAGTTATGAACTTATGATCACTATGCTATGACACTCTTCTTCCAAAGCTTGTTTCATCTCTATTAATAGTTGCTCTAGACCTAAAAACATTTAATCAAGTCGACTTTTTATAACAAATGAGACAGTTTGTTGGAATTCCCAAAATGATTATGTTGATTATACACAATCCCCGTACATAGATTTTCCCCCAGTTTAGCAAACATTGTGGTAAGGAATTTGGGCGGTTTAGATTTTGTGGATGCAAGTTTTTTTAGTTACTAGAATGAATTCATTCTTTACATGAAATAAGAATCTTACCTAATAAAAAAGGGGTTTTTTCGTTGAATAGGTTTTGTTTTTCAGTTTCGACTTTCGAGCTAGTAAATGTTATATGTACTAATGTTTTATTTTAACATAAAGTACTAATGTGCTGCACATATGAAAATTTCAAATCACCAAGTTTACTCCAAATCCCAATTTTGTAATATTGTATGGTTAGAAACAATATTACAACAACGCTAATTCATATATAGATCTACATTTACTCTTTACTCCTGAAAACTACATACAACAATATGGCCTAACTTATATGTGTGGGCATGCATCTTGGCACACTTAATTGGAATGGGGATCTTCAACTTGACAAAGCTTGAAATTATGACAGACAG